TCAAGGAGCTCATATAGTGTGGCCAATTGAGGCAGTACGTTGCTGGCAAAGGACATGCCTCGCCATCTAGCCAAGACCAGGACGACAAAGAACGCCAACAACCCCTTAAAGAAATCTAGACAATCTCCTACAGGTTATAAGGAGAAGGTGACTCCAACTCTGCCAGGAAAGCCTTGGGCCACCTATAGGACATCGAACACTTAAAGAGCTATAGTGGGTACAAGCTAGTGGCTCTCATTATCTATCCTTTATGATTTTAGTAGATTTATTATGTTAATTATTATTTTTTGAAATAAAACTCTATGAAGATTATTGTGTCCAAAACTATATTACTTTCATTTCATAAAGTTTGTAAACAACTTATAAAAATCAGAACATGAACAAACAACAAGGTAGACAAAAGTCGTCATTCTCCCGACGATCAGTCACAGTTCCCCGAGCCACTATCATTAAGGTTCTCCCAATCACCATCGACCCCTGGTGCTTCATATGGTACGAAAGTTAGAGAAATCCACAAGTAGGGAAATCTATCAAGCTCTTGATGACCATTAATAAATGCACCTACAATGGCCCTCTCAACAATCTCCCTCCTCATCTCTATCTCAATGGAATGAGTCTCCACCATGGAAGCCCTCTCCTGAGCTATACGTAACTCGGCCTCCAACTTAGCGGCCCTCTCATGGGACGTCCGCATCTTTGAATTTGTTCTTGCGCAGGTAGTCTCCTTATAAACCTCTGTCACAGTAGCCCTCTCCCAAGCTATACGTAGCTCAGCCTCCAACTTAGCAGCCCTATCACAGGACGTCCGCAGCTCTGATTCTATTCTCGTGCAAGTAGTCTCCTTATTAGTCTTTGCTATGGCAGCCCTCTCACTGGATGTCCGCAGCTCTGAATTTGTTCTCACGCAAGCAGTCTCCTTATAAGCCTCTGCCATAATAAGCCTCTCCTGAGCTATACGTAGCTCGACCTCCAGCTTAGCGGCCTTCTCACAGGACATTTGCAGCTCTGACTCTATTCTCGCACAGGTAGTCTACTTATGAGCCTCTGCTATGGCAGCCCTTTCCCAAGCTATATGNCTCACAGGACATTTGCAGCTCTGACTCTATTCTCGCACAGGTAGTCTACTTATGAGCCTCTGCTATGGCAGCTCTTTCCCAAGCTATATGTAGCTCGACTTCCAACTTAGCATCCCTCTTATGGGATGCCCGTAGCTCTGATTCTGCTCTCGCGTAGGTAGTCTCCTTATAAGCTTCTACCATGGCAACCCTCTCCCAAGCTATACGCAGCTCAGCCTAGGCTCCTACGGCCCTCTCACGGAACACTCGCATCCCTGATTCTGCTCTCACGCTGACAATCTCTTTATCAACCTCCAACGTTTTAGCCCTCTCGTGGTATGTTAAAAAGCTCGGTCTTAGGAGGCACNCTGACAATCTCTTTATCAACCTCCAACGTTTTAGCCCTCTCGTGGTATGTTAAAAAGCTCGGTCTTAGGAGGCACGACTCTCTCATGAGCAAGCCTCAACTGATCCTCAGCGGTTTCTCGAAGTCCGCCTCTCTTTCGCTAGATCCCTAGATGTCTTTCCAAGTTTGATCATTCTTGAGAAAAGTTAGGGAAAAGCAATAGTCACCTATAAGAATCCAAAAAATAGAACATGAAGAAAGGAGAACCCCTCCATCGCGGTAATGGTAATGCCCTCTAGACCTTGAGATCCAACTTCTTTAATATTCCTAGGAGACACAAACCTCCAAAGTTGCTCCTTGACCGAAGTCACATCGAAGCATAGACACCGTACCACTACTAGAAGTGGGGAAGCTATATAGAGCTACAAGCCTTGTAGAAAATCGCACTAGAGTCTTAACTCCTACAATGGTACAAGGGCTAACTCTAGTACACACAGAAGTCCCAGTCTAGAAAGAAGAAGGGGCACCACCAGATCCGNAATCGCACTAGAGTCTTAACTCCTACAATGGTACAAGGGCTAACTCTAGTACACACAGAAGTCCCAGTCTAGAAAGAAGAAGGGGCACCACCAGATCCGTTTCCTATGAAGTAACTTGGCCATCAGACCTCGGCCGAAAAGCACTGGGGGCAACAACCTCACCCTCTTGAGAAAAAGGGAAGAAGCTGCCCTAGAAACATTGAGGACCTCCACCTCCATCGCCGCTCTATCAATGGGAGCGCCTGTAATTAGAAACAAGATCAATATAAAGAACCAGCATCGAGAAAATGTTAAGGAGAAAGTCGGATTAGAGAAAGTGGGTTTGCCTCCTACCTAGTTGAAAGCCATCATGGTCTCCCTCTCTTGCAAAACTCAGAATGCCAACATGTCGTCCAAGAATGCCTGACAACTACTTGACAGAGCGCAACTTCACACCGTCGTCGGTTCACTAATTTATATTTAAAACTCAAAAAAAAAAAAATTGGAGAAATTTGGTGACCAAACCCGCCTTTGGCATTTTGTATGTCGTAGATATCAAAAAAATACCTAGATTAAAAAAAATTACCACAAACAGACAATGGTGCACTATGGCCGTTCAAAGTTTTGTTGTTTTTTCATGGTACTCTGGCCGTAGGGCTAGTAATCGAATTGAGTTACTCGAGCTCGATTTGAGTTCGGCTCATTTTGAGCTCGTTCGAGCTCATTCAAATATTGTAAACAAGCCATGTATGAATACAATTTTAGGCTTGATAATAAACGAGCCGAGCTTGAGCTTGAATTCAAGCTGCTTGACAGGCTTGATTAAGCTTNTAAGCCAAGTATGAATACAATTTTAGGCTTGATTATAAACGAGCCGAGCTTGAGCTTGAATTCAAGCTGCTTGACAGGCTTGATTAAGCTTGATATTTTTTACCTAGTATTACTATTATTTTTTAGTGGTCCAATTATAACTATCCATTCCAAACTTCGATCCAACGATGAGGACAACATGTATATTATACTGTCTAACCCTAATACACCCAAACCAAAACCCAATTTGGCAATCTCGCCTCTATCTCTCGCCTCCATCTCTCACCTCCATCTCGTGACTGCCACTCATCGGTGAAGCCCTCAACTCCTTCTCTCATCTGCGGTCTGCCACTCATCGATGAAGCCCCATCTCTTGTCTCCATCTCTTCTTTGTGGATCAGGTACAACTCTCTTCTTTAGGGTATTTGTATTTTCTGGTTGGCATGTTTCAAATAGTGCATGTTTTCTGGTTGGCATGTATTCTGTCTGTGATGACTCGGGCGTTAAATTTGGCCTGTGAAAATAATTAAAATTGGAATAAAATAGCAGTCAAATTATTAATTAATAAATAAATGTTACAAAATTACACCACTTTGACATGAGTAGCAGGACAATGTTCTGCCACTTCTAGTTCAATCATTGTGCTTCAATCTATGGGTTCAATCTTGGACCAACATAAGAAAACCAATCAATATGGCTTGAGACCAGATAAACCATTTCTTATATAAAGTGAATAATTATTGTTTTATGTGAATTAGTTCTCCATACACAATTGGCATCCTATTTGTCTGTGGATTCAGAATAAGGTTATGCTTAGGCTTTATTCCAGTATTGCTCAAATTCAGTTCAATTTCTAAATTATATGATAATAGTGGCCGCTAAGCAATATATTATGCTGAATTGAAGAAAGGTATTACCTGAGAAATGTGCACCATTGTTAACTGAAAAAGAAAAATAGAAAGGAACAATAAACCTAGATATAGAAAAACTGGTGTGTGTTTATTTTTGTTTGGCCTCTTATTTAGAAGAAGATTTGGAATATAATTGGTGTGTGTTGACATNTGCACCATTGTTAACTGAAAAAGAAAAATTGAAAGGAACAATAAACCTAGTTATAGAAAAACTGGTGTGTGTTTATTTTTGTTTGGCCTCTTATTTAGAAGAAGATTTGGAATATAATTGGTGTGTGTTGACATTTGTGATGAAAACAACACTGAGGATTTTGATGCCTTGAATTGGTAGAAAGCAAACAGTCTTAAGTTTAGAAACATGTCAAAGATGGCACGAGACATACTATCTATTCCCATTACTATAGTTGCTTCAGAGTCTGCTTTTAGTGCCGGAGGGAGAGTTCTTGATCAATATCGAAGCTCCTTGAAGCCCGAGACAGTTGAAGCTTTGATATGTACAGGGGATTGGTTGCGTAATGATTTTGGAATCCACGGATCGAATATTGTAACGATATTTTTACCTTGTNTCAGTTGCTTCAGAGTCTACTTTTAGTGTCGGAGGGAGAGTTCTTGATCAATATCGAAGCTCCTTGAAGCCCGAGACAGTTGAAGCTTTGATATGTACAGGGGATTGGTTGCGTAATGATTTTGGAATCCACGGATCGAATATTGTAACGATATTTTTACCTTGTGTTTTATTATGTTTCAGTCACTATGAATTTCATTGTTGCCTTGTTGGTGTCTTATTTATAGGTTGTTAAAGAGAATGAGTTTATGAATGAAGATAGCATTGAGGAAAACAGCTTTTGAATCATTTTTTTAAAGGTCTCAATAACAATTCTTGGTTATGATTTTGAATCATTTTTTTTAAAGGTATCAAATACTAATTATTGGTTATGGTTTTTTCATTGCAGACTCTACTACGAGGGCACTTGGCTATTTTTTTGTGAAACATGTTTTTTTTTTTTGCACTTGACAACTTCTATTTTAATTTGGTTATTTTAATTTAGTTGTTTAATTTGATTGTTTTATAGACAATTTTTCTTGTTGGTGATGTGGATCAGTGCATTTTAATTTGTTATGTTGTATTAAGTGGTATTGAACTTTGTTAAAATTCAAGCTTGTTCACAAGCCTGAATTCGATTTCTTTGGTCAAGTTTTATACGAGCTAGAGCTCGGATTCGAGCTTGTTAATAGAANTAGCTTGTTCACAAGCCTGAATTCGATTTCTTTGGTCAAGTTTTATACGAGCTAGAGCTCGGATTCGAGCTTGTTAACAGAAAATGAGCCTAATCAAGTCGAGCTTGAACTTTTCATTTTTTTAGTCAAGCCGAGCCTCATGGTGATGCTTGTCGAGCTTGGCTTGATTACCACTCCTATCTGGCCGGCTCCCTAGGCCTCCCAAGCATCACCCAAGCCTCCATGGCATCGCCAAGACTAGCCTTCTGCTCCAATGTGTTGCCTCCTGCTCCAAGTCAACACATAGCGCTAGTGCCAGTACCTAGCCTGGCAACTGTGCCTGCAAGGCATCGCCCAGCTAGCACCCAGCCTGGCGCCTGTAAGGTGCTACCCAGCTCCTCCACATCCTAACGGATAGTAACAAACACGGGTTGTAGTAGGACCGTAGGAGACAGAAGGAGCTGCCTTGCCTAACCCACCTTGCTTTTAGCGCTGCCTAGTATGTCTAGGGAGTTGCCCATCCTGCTGTCGCCACTAAGTTTCCTACCTAGGCTATTGGCCCCTCCACTTTTGGCATCACTTGAGTCTATAAAGGCAACATGGAGGTCACCTATGCCAAACCCATGGCGCCTGACATCCTTTGGGCACTTCCCAACACACTGGTGCCTGGTACCTCGTCGCCTAGCTCGCTTTTGTTCCAGCCCACATCAGTAGTAGCTTCAGAGCCATAGGTGCCACCCATACGCCCAAAGACGTTGCCAACAGCCCTATAGGCACCACCCTCTTAGCCTCCCTTGGTCTCACCGATTGCACCATGGACCTTGCTCCTTTCGAAGTCGCTTTCCCCTAGGCTGGCTCTCTGGGCACCACCTCTTTGTCCTCTTATTTCCTTAGACTTCGAGGATTCCATAAAGCACAACCATGGAGCTATTAGAAGAAGAGAAAATTTTCCCATAGTACATGAGCAAGAAGCTCAAGAAGCTAACATCGTGGAGGACAAAAAACCTTTTGCCCACTCAAAATGAACATGTCACTCATCCCCTCAATCTCCTTGGCACCGCAAGGACTTGGGGCATAGGGGGCAAATGACAAGCCTAAATCTAATTGGGCCAAACCTAGTAAATCAAGTAAGCTCAGATCCACTAGGAAGGCAGCCTAAGCCCGGTTTATCAATCCGACCCAGTCCAAAATCCAAGGAGTCCATAAAGAAAAGAGTACATGGGGGAGAGATTATCGGGATACACACTCTCAAAAATCAATGCTATCTTAATTATATTTACCTTTTGTAACTATCTTTCCCGAAAAGCTAGTGTCTTTACCCTCACGTCACCGCCTCATCATGCCTATAAATTGTAAGTTCTCTCCATTGAGAGGGGCATCTCACTACACCACTCTACACCTCTATGCTTGACAAAATTCCTTGTTGTTTTCTAACCTCTAAACATCACCTTTTANCCATTGAGAGGGGCATCTCACTACACCACTCTACACCTCTATGCTTGACAAAATTTCTTGTTATTTTCTAACCTCTAAACATCACCTTTTAGCATGTATTGTATATGAATGAAGCGGAGTGTCACTCTCCTAGAGATGATGTCAAAAGAAAGGGCAACGGAATGATGGATGAATGAGATTTCAAATGTGAGTATGTGTGAACAAAAGTGCTCCCCAAGCGCAAGGAGACTTTCGCGGATCGTGTTTTACTTGGTGGTATTCCAAGGTCGTTTCCACGAGGAAGGAAGTAAACCGAGGGGAAGGTGATTTTGGGAGAAAGAAAGTGTAAAATCTTTGATTGTTGGAAGTTGTTT